TTGAGCTGCAAGAATGGGGCATCTTCAGTTTCATAAATCCCAATGCAAACACACTCATGGGTATAAACTGAGCATGGATGAGGATAAGCACCACATGGCGGGGCATCAGCGGGGAACTTGTTGAATGTTCTTGGCTTGGCGCTGACTTTTGAGGATCAACTCTACCTTCGCTTAAACACCAGAGAGAGAGAGAGAAAAAAAGAGACTGAATTCACACGCAGGCTGAGCTCACTCAACAGCGCATTTATGGACCAGAGCCTTATGTTTAGACCAGAATCAATAAGTTCACAGGTTGTTTTTCTGCAGGGAATCAGCGCTCATAATATCCATGGCCTTGAAGGAATGTGTTTGAACCTTGATGGCACAAAGAAATCACATTCCCGTGGTGCACACGGAGAAAACACACAGTTAACCAACCTCCCCCAACACCTTTTCAAGACGATAGTATCCCTGAACATATTAACATGTAAATACACTTAGATACTTTGACAATGCACTGAAATGCATATAATCTACATGCTAACTAGTCCTTTAAAGAGTTTCCATTGCTGAATGTGCTTTGGAAACACTTTCATGTCTGGGTTTTAAAAATTAAACGTGAGGCCTCTCTTAGAATCTCCAAAAGCGTTTTTCAATTTGATGAGGGATAAGGCGTTGACTGGGTTTCTGCTTTTCAAAGGAGGAGACCCAGAGTTCAATAAGACTTCAGTCTCATTGCCTTTGGCTCCAAGATGAAAATCTAAACGCTGTTTTTCTTCTTCTTCTTTTTTTTTTAAAGAAAGCACCCACCACGTTAGGTGACAGATGGCAGGTTGTTTTGCTAGAATACCAGTTGCTATGGCTCCAGCTTCACTCGGCACAGCTCAGCATCCTCTCTGCTGGTGTACTGACTTGGAATAAGTGGACTTGAAACTCCACAGGTTGTTGTTGACAAACATGAGCCCAGATGAGTCTGCTAATCTCCCGCTCCTTTATCCGCTCTTTATTGCCGTATAAACAGGCCTGAATGCGTTAAAAAAACTAAACCTCTGTTTTCAGCCTTCTCTTATCTCACGCAGGGTTTAATCTAATGCCCTCTACCCTTTTTACATCTCTGCCTCCGCTAAATACGACCATATTTTTGATTCACTACTTCACCATGACAACCAGTTATTTCCCATCCTTGAGCCTCCCCTCCGTCCGGCTCCTCTTCTGCATTGATACAGCTACCTCCCCCCAAGCCTTCTTTTTTTTGTCCAAATAAAACAAAGCAGGGAGTGAATGCACTCTGAGGTAGGTAAATGTATTCAGTGACATCAGCCAGGACGAGTCTATTCTGCTGGATTCCTGTACCACTTGTTTCCAGCCTTGTCTGGGGGCTGGACACTCTGTTGGGCCCATTGTCCCGCGTGTATTCCACACAGACCCGCAATTAATGGAGGCCTTGTCTAAGACTTCTGGAGCAGAAACTGCTGTTGGGGAGGGGGACAAAAGGAGGGCAGAGCTGAAGGGGGTGCTGGGAGTTGCTATGGGAGGGCCCCCCCCTTTCCCTTTTTAAGGGGGGATTCAAAGGAAGAAGGAGGAACAGAGAGCGAGCAGAGCGCTGGATGAGATCTTTAAGTGATCCCCTCTGTCTGTCCGGCCTGAGATGTTGTCATACAAGCCGCTGAAAGAGAACCTTGCACTATTTGATGATGAGGATGGTCATTTCACTGCCTGCATAGTGGTGGTGGTGGTCGAGCTAAGGAGGAGGCTAGGGGGCCACAGTTTTGAAAACAGGTAAAAAGAAAAACCGACAAATAACTATGTTGTGTAGGGACCCCCTCACCAATAGAAAAAAAAATTCTCATATAATTCCACTTTTTTTTTTGTACGACATAGAAATCAGGTACATTGCTCCTGAATACTCAGCACACAAAGTCTTAGGTAACATAAAAACGAACCTGCTCAAATTCTCTTATCCTACTTGCTCAGCAAATGGTTGTCCACCAGTGCCTCTGGTCCTGCTACAGGTATCTGCCCATGAATAGGAGGTCTTTCTTGACGTTGTTGCTCGGTGCTTACTCATTAGTAGATCAGTGTTTGGAGTCTGTGACTGATATAACCACAAGAAAGCAATCCTTGCCCACTGAGGGACAGCAGATAACCTTTGTGGTGATTTGGGGTATATTTTAAGATAAAATTGTTTGTATGGTTGAGTGATGAAGTTCTCTTCATAATGCCACATACTTGAAAAACACATACAGTAAGTGAAAAACTCAAGGATTAAGGACCTGTGTATCTGGAGATAGGCTTCTGCAACACTTTGGGCCTCTGAGGAGTCTGAAATACAGACTGGAGTATTGAATATAGTATCATGTCACAGTCAAACCAGGAGTTTGTACATTGCCGCTCTATTCACCAGTATTTTAAAATGAGAGATAATGTTGTTTTAAAAAAACCCAACCGTCCAGAAAACAAAACCAAATCTTTTCTGTTAAAAGCTAAGATCATTGATCAGGAACTTTAAGTTTGTGTTGTTTTTTCATGTCCCAAGTGAACAAAGTAGCACCTTTAAACACTTTATCATTACAGTCATTATAGTGATGTTTCGCCACAAAGTCTCTTCAATCGTTTGAACACTGAGAAAAATAATTTAATTATTTTCTTTATAAGAAATGAAATCTTCCTGACTGCAAGAAAAAGGCTAATCAATGACCACAGACACTGTTTCTTTATGATGTGGACATTTTTTATTTGTTTTTCTTCTTGAACTTTTCTTTTCTTTGACTCAAACTTTTTCAAAGCATTTGTTTTTTATGCAATGGGTCCTGTCAGCTTCAGCAAAACACTAACTCTTTTTTTTTCTCTACTCTACAAGTCTTACATCTGGTATTTTAACACCCAGAAAGACAGAGAGAAAGTGCCCATGTTTTTGATGTTTATCTTTTTTCTGATTATATCAGGATGCGGTCACTTAAACAAGTCAAGACTAATTGATATCCTCCCACCGGTTCCCCTCCTCTGATTATTGCTCTCATGCTGGACTGTGATAGCTTTCTAACCCTCCCCTCCCCTCTCTGGGTTCCCACACTGATACAGATCAGAGCCATGCTACAAACCTCACGTCTATATCACTGTCTGCACAATAAAGGGCTGTTTGTGTCGGAGCAGCAGGCTTCACTGAAACACGACTGATGGGATAAAATTTATTGTTGCACAGAGCCTTCTCCAGACATCCTGTTTTTTTTATCTGTGTTGAGCAGATTCTGACTATTTAAACATAAACTTAAGCTGTTTGTGTGATCTTTAAAAAAATCTAAGAAAATCTAAGCTGCACGTTGAAGTAAAGAATAAATCATAAACTATGTTGTAAACGGGTTATCCTCTATTCCTGTGTCATCATCCTTTGGCATTGTCAGATGTTGTAAATGGCTATGTAACACGTCAAACCTGGCTTGGCTGGTATTAACTCGAGGTCAGAGAGTTGACGGTGCTTGAAGTCTTCTTCACACAGATAAGGTCGGGGATGCAGAAAGTGACCGGCTTCTGGGGTCATTTCACTTCTGAGGGTTTAGGAGCTTTAAAGAGGGTGTTTGAAGTCTATCAGCGAGGATATAAACCTGTGCCGGACAGAGACATCTGTCAAGTGTTTGCATCAATTCGGGTGGATGGATCGTGATCTTTGGACAACTTTAACATCTAGGTCTAGCCTTGTGTAAACTCTGTCCCATACAATATCCACTGATTTAACTGTGTCTCATCAATCAGTGCTCTATTCTCAAGTTATTGACTTAAGTGTTTTGAGCAAAGAATTAATTGCTTTAGTTTTTTGTGAATCATAAGAAAAGCAGAGCTCATGTGCAAACCAGATTCTGACTTTCACCAATGCTTTTTCAATTTAGAAAACTCTGCTGCTATCAATGCATTACTAGTCTCCTTCTTGTCAGTCTTCAGATTAACCGTTCCATCTTAGCTCTATTTGGAGACAACAGAATTTGGAGACCTTGTTATGGCCCAGGCTGAGTAAGCCTCTGTTTTTCTTTTTCACGGGACGTCAGGCCTGAAGTGCTTCAGATGATCACTCTGAGCGTGAGTTTGTGTTTTTCAAACGAGAGAGACACACAAAGAAAAGAAATCAGTGCTTCTTTTATATGATAAACATTCAATTTTATGGTAAAATTTTTATGACCATGATGTCTGTTTGCTGCAAGTTTTTGTGGTTAAATACTCAGCATCAGTATCTGCTTAGCCTATCTGAGTGAAATAGTTTTTTGTTTATACATAAAATAACAAAATTAAATACATATAAACAAAAATAAAGGCCTTCATGATAAATGATGAGGATTATGTCAGTTTCTTTGGATTATTTAAAATGACAATTTTAAGGGATGCAATGCCTAAATGAAAAATATCATGTGAGTACACAACAGGGTAAAACAGCCTAAAAGTTATTTCTTGACTGAGTCTGGGTGAGAGCAGAATATTAAAACGATGCAACTATTTTTCTTAAACATATGATTATGTAGACTGTAGGTGGGTAGTTTTATGTTGCTAGGTAAATTTTATAGTTTGCTTAATTTCATATGGTGCACCTACCCAAAATTTTACCAGATTAAACCCAAAATCAGTGAATGTTTTTAACGTTAGTTTTATAGGTGTTGCTTTTTCCCTAATTAAGCGGACTTTTTTTCGGATAAACTTAATTAAAATTAGTATATTGTCAAAGACTTTATTGCAATATCTTAAACTTAACTTCGCTTTAACGAGTAAACATATCTTATCTCGGTGTGACCCAGCTTTCGTGATGCAGAACCATCACTTTCTCCTTAAACTTTAGAGGAACTTCTCTCTCTCTCTCTCTCTTTCTCAGCATCCTGACAGGTAGCCAATAGCAGCGGCTTGTCGCACGAGCCCGCCGCCTCCCCGGCACCGTGTCCCGCGCGCTCATTGGCCGGAGAGAGGAAACCCAGGAAACTCGCACACGAGCCGCTCGCGTGCAGGCTCGCGCCCTATAAATAGCACGTGAGGCACTAGAAAGAGGAGCGGAGTGGATGTTGGATTGTAGAGGAGGCAAAAGTCACTGCAGACATTCTTCTGCTGTAAACTGCACCGTGATTTGTTGAAGGAAGGCGGGACTCACCGAACTGGACTGGTTTTATTCTCATTCATCGGTCTGTTGTTTATAAACTTTTGAAGAAACTGTTTTTAAAAACTTCAAGATGCCAGCTGGAACTTTAGAGAGAACTTCTCCATCCTCTGTAGCTGCCACACCAGCCAGAGGGGACTCCACACCCGAGAAACCCCGCACTCTGACAGAGCACAGAAAGGTATGTGAACTCTTTGTTCCTAACAAAAAATTCATTTTCGTCAACTGTAGAAAATTGTCATCTCAATGGCGAAATTTCCTGTGTTCATTAAGTCCTCTAAACCAATCATGGAGAAGAGGAGACGCGCGCGCATCAACGAGAGTCTGGGCCAGCTGAAGACCCTCATTATGGACGCACTCAAGAAAGATGTAAGGCCAAACAATATGATTTTATTTATTCTAATTGACAACATTTAGAAAACAAAATATAACATTAAAAAATCTTTAATATGTTTAGAGCTCCAGACACTCTAAACTGGAAAAGGCAGACATCTTGGAGATGACTGTGAAACACCTCAGAAACCTGCAGAGACTTCAGATGGCTGGTAGGAAATTAAAACTCTAATTTGCTATTTTCATACAGTATGTCTGCAATAGAATAATTCTCAAGATTTTAGATTAGGTTTTTCCCCTTGGAAATTGATTTAAGGCCTCTACTGCACAAAAGGGCCTTTTCTCTACAGTATCTATCTATCTATCTATCTATCTATCTATTAATGTTAATGTGTTTATGTTTTCTTCTGCAGCATCAGTTCACTCAGATCCATCGATCCTGGGTAAATACAGAGCCGGCTTCAGTGAGTGTGTTGGCGAGGTCACTCGTTTCCTGTCCACATGTGAAGGGGTGAACACAGATGTGAGGACTCGCCTCCTCAGCCACCTGGCAGCATGCGTGACCCAAATCAACACAGTGAACTTCTACACACCTCACCCAGGTACTCTGGGGCTCGGACAGACTAGCACACAGGTCTCTCAGATGCCGTGCAAAAGCGACTCAGCGATGCCCGTCTCCTCAGGAGCAATGAAGATGTTCGGTGGATTCCAGGTCATGCCCATGCCGGATGGTCAGCTTGCTTTTGTTGTTCCCAGCGCAGCGCTTGTGCGTATGAGTGCACAGAATAGCCAGCACATGTCGCCTGTTGCACCTCCACTCACCTCAGACTCTGTGTGGAGACCATGGTAACTGATTTGCTGGAAAAAGACTATCTCACAACAAGAAAACCTACATTTTTGTACATTTTGTAAATGTTTGTGAAACCTTCTTTAGAGGGATGTTTAAACACGTATGTGTTTTTAAATGAGCATATTTTGTAGATACTCATGACTTTTTTACTTAAAGTGAAACTGGTTTGGCACAGAGAGTATGGAAAATCATTGAAAAGCTGTAAAAAGTACTCAATTTTTTGAGATGAATAAAATGTTTTTTATGATGTTTACAATTACATTCCTACGCTATGGCTTCTTTTTTCTTTGCCTTCCCACAAACATCCTAACAAGTGGGTGCTGTGGGCAGAGTTGAGGGGAGCTAATCTGAGATTTATAAGGTTCAGTTACTTGATCAATAAAGTCTCTTGTAATGCACGTTGTAACTGGTTTAAAAAGAGCGAAGTGGCAGGGATACATCCTTCAGGATGGAAACAGACTCCTTTCTAATGAGATAAAAAGCCTGATAGGTCATGTGAGCCAGTAATGTGTGCTGTCAATGAAAGGAGAGTGTTGAAAAGCACATGGACTTCTGTCTGTGGTTCTGCAGAGAAATAGGTGCTGAAATTGATAGGGGCTGATTGAGAAACATGCCATACTAAACAAGGACCTTTATGAATAAAAACTGAACCATCAAGTGTAATTTGTTGGTCCCCTCTGCATTATCTACCGCTGAAGAGCGACTGGTATTAGTGGTTCAGGTTTAGAAAGGCTGGCTGTTCAATTCTTAGCTTCTGCATTCGCCATGTGATCAGTAGTTGGAGTAGTCGGCTCTGCTGCTGGCGTATCAACGTGAAAGGGTGGTTATGACATGTGGTACAAAAGCCCTCTTAGTAATCAGAAGACTAAAAAAGCTCTGTTTATGTTCAGTCGATTTACAATGAGAGAAAAACCTCCTGACACTCTCGCAGATAAAATTGATTTAAAATGATGTGATGACATAAGTGTGTGATTGCACAAAAGCTCCTAAGCAGCAGCCCCACAGCCTTCAAGCCAATCTTTGTCCATTTAGTGGACAGTTGAAGAGCTGATGGTCTCAGCGTGTGTCCTGAGCGTGGTGCTCACACAGCGGGACACAGGCAGAGCATGGCCAGAGGTCACAGGTGCCCCTCATTCACTCTCAATAGACAACGCAGCTTCAGCAGCATGTTGCTCTGAAGCTGGCAACCCATCAACAGACCTGGCAGCCCATCACCAGAAGACAGGGCCTCCCTTTGACGGCATCACAGTGGCACCTCCACAGGCTTACACACACACACACACACACACACACACACACTCACACACACACACACACACACAAAATCCATGACCATTCGGTTGTTGCTGATTTAATATTCAAGGAATTTCAAGGATTAGGTCAGAACAAAAATAAGTGCAGTCTTAACCACTGTGTTTCTTCCAGTATTAAAATACAAGAGGACAGGTTTCTGAACTTTAGATGTATTTTTTATATACTGTAACAAACTCAGGATTGCTTTTTCATGAATATGTGAGGAACTCTGGTACCATATTGATTTTGGACCAAGTAAACATTTCAAGCTTGTGCTGACATATTCACAATTTAAAAAATTCTCACACATCTGTCTGTATAAACGACTGTTTGATGTAAAATACTGTCAATAATAAAGTTAGAGGAGCTTTTGAAACTTAAACTGTATATCACTTGACTGGAAACCAACATTGTGACATAAAGCATAAAAATAACCCACAGTCCTGACTCAGTGCTCTCACAACAGCACTAGTTGTACATAGAGGCATCAGTGTTGTACTTTATGCTCAACTGTGTTATTCATTTTTCATTGTTTGGTTGTTTTATCTTTGAAAAAAGGTGAGGTCCACTGGATAAGCCTGTTGGCTTCTCGACTTCTCCTGACACATTATATCTTTCACAAACTGAATCAAATTAAATAAGAATTTTAATTCCGTATTTAAACATAGAAATCAGGGTAAACGTGAATCGAATCCCCATCACGTCACTTTAAAACTTATTACAACTCCTCACTTTGTGTAAATGATACAGTCAATTAAGTTTACATCTCTGTTTTGGCACAGCAGAGAGAAGACTGGTCTTTAGGAGGACTTCAAGACAAAAATACACCCCCCCGTCTCTCAGAGCATCCTTTGAGAGGACCTTCCATAAGACAAAAACAAAGACGGGCCCCTCAGAGGCTCAATGGCTCCTCTCTTTGTGACCCTCTCCATCTTCATAAAGGGCCTTCCCCTTGTTTATCCAGGGAGAGGTTTAATGGTCAGGAGAAGGAGGAGGGGGGTCCATGCTGTCACTTTCACTGTGCTGAAGAAGGCTTATTGTTGCCCTCTCCCAAAGGTCCTGCTCTTAAAGGCTTTAGGACAACTCTTCGGACCATGCTGCTCTCTTCAGATAAGTGCTGACAGGTCGTTTCCGTCTTTACCTCTATGTGCAGGAGAACCTGGAGTGGATTTGATAAGGAGCTTCAAGGCAGCCAAGCTTTCACCGGTGTTTCCTCCTCCTTTGGATGCATATAGAATAGCTGTAGTGTCATCTAAAAAGTGGGTTACATCCTACACAGCCAACCCTACACCAGTGTAAAATACAGAGAATAGTCTTCTTTTGTGTTATGGTATCTTGCCCATAGGATGGCGCTCAAAGAAGTAAGTGATTTCCTCAGTGCGCAAAGCATGCCAGATACAAAGTAAAGCACACCAGCCTATAGCATCACTTTTTGCCTTTTCTCCCTCATAAGGTCACAGTTGTGCATTTAAAAGAAACTGTGTTTAGGAGTGCTGGTTTGATCATTGAGACTTTTCAAACCATGATAACAAGTAATCATACAGGACTGACGCAAGTCTTTGCGAATTTGTTGCAGACAGTGGGTCAGCGTAGGCTGAGCTCATGAAAGGTGTAAATACATGGTTCTAGAAATATTACACATCTACATATAAAAACAACACATTGCTGAACTCAACTGAAACATCTAAATTTCCCCCGTCAGCCTTCCAAAAAACAGACTTTCTTCTACTGTACAGTGGTGTCTTCTTTTTTACCTCCGCCAAGGAGGTTATGTTTTTGGTAGCGTTGGTTTGTTTGTTTGTTTGTTTGTCTGTTGGAAACTTTACAGAGAAAGTTACTGACGGATTGACCTGAAATTTTTACTGGAGGTGCGTCTCAGCCCCAGGAGGATCCCATTACATTTTGGTGGTGATCCGGATCGCCTTCTGGATCCAGGAATTTTTTGAAGGATTCTTTATCATTGTGAGATAGGGCAAATTTGGGAATTTTTGCATTTAACTCTATGAAAATGGCCAGAGTCTTTATTAAAAAATTACACAAAAGGATCTCAATGAGTTTTATGAGGTGTCAAAGGTGATCCTGATCCAGACAAAATTCCGGATACTGTGAGCTGCTTGGAGGAGGTCTGCGCTCTCAGAGTGCTTTTCTAGTTTCTTAAGGAGTTTACAGTACACCCCTAAACTCACGTCTTCAATACATTCATTTAGATTGTAAGTAGATCACACTGGCTGTAAGAAGGATAGACAATATCACTCTTTTTCCACCCATTATGAGCTTTAAAGCTGCTGTGAGGAACTTTTGGTCTGTGTTGGTTTTGGTATTCCCCCCTCTGATGCCTCTTATCTCTGTTCCTGTAAACGAAAAAGAAGTCTTTTAAGACAAATACCTAATCCTATAGTCTTTAAAAGTGATAAATAGCACTAAATGTGAGTGTTTGTCTTGTAAAAAGTGAAAATAAAGCTGCTTCTTCAGTCGGCTGTCTGACACCTACGCCCTCTCATTGGTTTCAGGCATCAAAACCTACAACTGAAAATATCCTCCTGGTCTAGTTTGCTTCTGAGGTCATAAAGAAGCCTTAGTATCAATTTTAGCCTGTTTCCTAACCATTTAAAACCTTGTCACAGTACCTTTAAAATCAGATATCATCTCCAAAATTCCACAACACATGTCCTATCATGTAGCTCTAATTTAAAATATTGTCTGTTGTTCCTCAAAATGTTGTCTTTTAATCGGCTTTCTGGTCACAAATCATTTAAGAGCCACTGAAAAGATAATTTGTCATGATCCCTAAATTTTTATAACTTGCAACCTTTAACACAGCAGTAAAACAATAATAAAACAGCATCTGAACTTCTTCTTCCCAGCGTGACACAAGGGTGAAATAGCTGCATTGTTAATATAGTCTATGGTAAACATTACGAGGGCAGGGCTTTACCCTTCACTTTGCTCGGTGATTGATGTCCTCCCTTCACAAACACTGTGACAACTCTGACAGGTTCCCCGCTTGTTTCCCCAAACACTCACCGGAAACCTCTGCTGCCTTTCCTCTGCAGGCAGATCAGCATAGTATTGTTCTGAGGGTTGTTATGGTGCTTGATGGGGGTGGAAGTAGTCAGCAGTGGTTCACATCAAGGCTAATGAATAGATTATACACTCGATATCAATGGTGAATGGACAATGCTCTTTGTGCCTTCACTTCAATTCAAACCTTTTTGATTTAGCTGCTTGTTTTTGAAGGAAAACTCAACAACATGCTGGTGGAAGTGCAGCTTCCGGGGGCGACTTTAGCATCAGGGTGACATTGAACACTGAAAGTGGAAAATTTATTACTAAGGACCCACACAGGAGGATGATAGTGTGACTGTTAAAGCCAAGTAATTCTACCATGAGTCTTTGTGTCTTTAAAGGAGATGTTGTGTTGAATGTTGAGGAGCAGGAGAGAAGGGCTTGTTTTCTCTCTGGTTATGGGCCATATGCTCATGAAGGCATCTAAAGAGGACTTTTACTGCAGGGGTCCTCATAAAGCTAACTAATGTTTTTGGTATAGCAAGGTTCACAAAACTGGTGAGAAGCATCAGCTGAGTCAAACTGACACAGTTAAAGGACCAAGACCAAGAGATTTGTTTTTTGCCTCTAACTTTTGAAAAGTGAGTGTATTCACAAGGAATTATGACATTTTCTCATCGTGTGAATCGACAACTCTGCTTCAGTGAAATGGAAAGAAGAGCAGTCAGATAAACGCACACAACAGTGATAAGCCAACGTTATGACCAAGGAGAAAAAGCTTGCTACCAAACCTATTAATTGTTAACGTTTGTTCCATTTTACAGGCTAACATCCTGGTTTTAACACAAACTTCAGCTTCAGATACTTTTACTCATTTAGTCCTTTAATAATCACTTTGTCTCATTGTCTCATAAAAGACAACATTTCATATATTTTTGACAGACTAACACCCAATATGCAAGACAAAAATTCAGAGATGTCAACAAGTTGAGGCTCCTGTGAGGAGTTTTCTGACATTGATGAAATCAGCTGAAATTCATACTGGTACTTAGTTATGACATGTAAAAGCAAAGAAGACCACTACCAGCAAGGTTGATGATTTTTATACTGTAATTTTCAACGACTGAAATTGGTACGAGAGGGTAGGTGTCCGCTGAGTAGATGAACAAACAGCTCTGTTTCTGTAACTTCCACATATAGTTTTAACATTTAATGACACATCTGACTGTCAAAAGTTGGCAGAGTGAGATTTGTTTGCCAAAAGACACAACCTTAGTATGAAGAGGACAAGATCAGGAGAGATTGCCTTGTTCACTGTGGGTTTCCAAATTAACACAAATTGAGAGTCCCTCAAGACAATTTTAGGATACCAGATTATAAAAAGCCTTTGAGCTGATGTCTTTTGAAAAACTTCATCATCAGCTCTAACTCTTTATTTGCTATTGGAACAGATCTCAGTACAGGCCAGTATTAAATATGTATAAACATTCACTGCAGAGTTTTGTTTTGCAGCACTTCTAGAGGACTCTACAGCATTATAGACTTAAAATCAAAGCAAGCCAGTGTTGTTCCTCTAGAACTTGATGGTACTCAAATGTTTCATGAATGAAGCTACTAAGGAGTTCTTTATGCAACCCTTATATGTCAAGTGCACTCATGCAACAACATAGTGTGTATTTCCATTGTGAAACAACAGCCTCTTCAGAAAATACTTCTGCTGCTGAAAACTGGAGAGCTGGAGATTTTTTTCCAATTGTCATGAAGCAACAAACAAACTGCTTGGATTCCTTGGTATACAATGAAAGGCTGGATGCATGCATAATAAAACCTCTAAATCTATGGTTCTGGAGACAAAACAAGTATAGCCGTATAAGAGCAGGCCCTGCACAGCCATATCTCCTAATTCATCCTCCATAATTGTAATGCAATGATAAGGAGCTTATAGCCTCTTGTTACGCTTCAATACGAACCAGGGAAGACAAAAGGCAGAGTACCAGCACCCTGAAAGTTTACCAGCCTGGAGACATCTCTGCATCCACTTAACATCACATCAGGTCAGCTGTTCTTAATTTGGTCCTCGGCACCAGTTTAGCCTCTAGGGGGTCTGAGTGCACTGAGGGGTAAAATATTGACCCTTGTTTGTAAGCAAGGCTCGCATTTTGGATGAGCAAAATGGCTCATTTGTGCTCTTGAGATGTTTAGGTCATGGTGTCATGGAGGATGTGTTTCGCCCTCTCACAGGCCAAGAGGGAAGAGCTAATAAGCACCTGCCCACATAATGGCAACTGGTGTTGGTTAGCATTTCATGACTGACTGAGCACATTTAGCTGAAAATGGAAAAAAGAAAACTTGAGCATGATGATTAAAGTTGCCATTAAATGTACTGTCTCATATTTTGGTCCTTCAGATTGAGAAATATACCTTTTGTTTTTTATACAGAATGACACAATTATTAATAAGGTGGAATTTTGTTTCGGTTACCTGAATGAAAATTAATTTAAACTTTATAATCAAAAACTCTCCTCTTGAGTTTTTGCTCCTGACATCGAGTCCTAGTTGACCCCGACCCTTTGTCCAGAGGACTCTGCCTTGCCCTCGTCTCCTCCCTCCTCACCAGCCACCCTAAACTCTGTGGGAACCCCCCCTCCCAGTGCTTTGTGTCATTTTGGACATTGGTGTCTCACAGGATCATGTCTGCACCCCTCTGTTTCTCTCCTCTCCCATCTGAGGAGCTGCTGTGTGGAGTGCGGTTTCCACCACTAACTGCCTACCAGGCAGGACAGAGGATCAGACCACAGGGGTTAAGACGAGCTTCTGATCAAACCCTGGTTCATCATTCAGACTGCTGCTGTCAGTTTGTCAGGCAGTGGCAGTGACTGACAGTGATGGATGCTGATGGGCGATTCAGAATCGGAAATGACACAACTAACCTCTGTGCAGTGCTTCACAAAAGTGAGGTCAGCAGATTACAAAGAACTTTGGGACAAATTTTCCAAAACAAACCTCCTTCAACATATTGAGTTTATTTCTGTGACTCAATGACACATTTTTCACAAAACCATTAATACTAAAACAGTCTAGTTTTGAAGCCATATTGAGTAAGATGTTGCTTTGAAAATACAGAATATCTTTAATAAAACAGATTTCAGTAGACATTTTTTTAATGCCATAAAAAATATTTAAAAAATAGGCAAATTTGTAATTTTGAAGTCGGTATACGTCTGAAAATACTGGTCAGAATATAACTTACTGTCATAATTGTTTAAAATTTCCAAGCAGCATAATAAAAAATGGTGCAGAGCAAAATGCTGTATACATGCTGCAGCCAATCAGAGAGGATTGCTGGTATTTATTCTTAAACTGATGATTAAGAAAGGGATTACACCTGTCCATTATTATGATTCCCAGTCCATCTTTAAAATGTCAAAATGTCAGATAAATTTTGGTCTTTAAAATGATTCAACACTGCGAAGCTAGTTTAAAAAAAGTATTTAATGAAGATAGACTTTTAAAAAAAGAAATCCTGATTCTTGAAATTTTAGGTACTCTGTCTTGAGTGGTTAGCTTGTTTTAATGAGCTGCATTTAAACCCCTTGGTCAGTAAGGACCCTCACTAACAACTTTAGCTAACAACCTGACTCATAAAATGTCAATTTTTTCCCACACCTTTGGTCAAGTGAGGATTACCTCCTACTTCAGGCCATCCCTCCACACTCTGGAAGTAAGACGGCCTCCACTTTTTGTTGTGTGAATTGTGATGTCATTCAGCTCGGACAGAGGACCCAATCGACCCCCTGGCCTTTGACCCTTATTAACCCCGGGTTAGAGTGCTGTATTCAAGGTGTAGCCATCTGTGTGCCTTGTGTTGAGGTTTCCCTCCGTCCTCTCTCTTTATCATCCCTCCCAGTGTTCAGGGGCAGTGGAGTGATAAGAGGAGGACTGGCCGGTCTCCATCAACTTTTAAAGCCCCGTAATGACAGGATGGTCACCACTACAATTCTGGATAACTTCAAATGTGTGCCAAGGCAGTAGTTAAACTGTTGCGGCACTGTAATATTATTTATCTGGTTTTCCAGAGCTTCACTTCATAATCGAGAGGTCACTAAAGAATCTAAGATATGATAAAACAAACCTTTATTTATCCCACAATGAGGAAATCTGCAGTTTTAACATCAGCAAAGGATCCGGATCAGCATAGCAAAATTTTCTTTCTTTATCGTTTTTTTTGTTTTATATCTCTCTATTAAACAACAACAGTAACAGGTCACTTTGTATATCGTGGGTAGATATATAAACTGGTGAAAGATCACTAAGTAACACATTTTTTTGGTTTGCTAACGGTGATGTTAGCAAACAGGTAGGCTAATGCTGCGTTCAAGTTACCCCGGAAGTCAGAAGTCCAAGCTGGGAATAACGTCACACCCACATGTTACCAGCGTTTCAGTTACCGAGTCAGAAAAAAGCAAAATCAGAGGCAAAAACAAGATGGCTACATCTACGAAAGTTATTTTAGCACTTGCCTTGTCCTTTAATATTAGCAAGGACAAGGCAAGCGCTAAAATAACTTTCGTAGATGTAGCCATCTTGTTTTTGCCTCTGATTTTGCATTTTTTCCCTACATGGCGCTGGTAACTCGGACATCGAACCTCCGAGCTAACTCGAACGCAGCAATACATGCAAGCTAGACGCAAGCTAACTAAAGCCAGCTAGTTAAAAGCGATGCAAGCTATGAGTTAAATGCTAAAATTATTTTAGTGGTAGTAGGCTTTTTACATTTTCAACTGTGGTTTAATTTCCTGTATGGTTTTAACCTGATGGTGAAAAACATTGTCTTTTGATGACCGATGAAACCAGACAAAATTAAAACAACTTTCAGATTTCGTTTATATGACAGAAAACCAAGACAACAGCAGTTATAGCAGCATTTCAACTCCCAAACCAGAGGTAAATGACGGCTATGGTTTGTGAATATGGTGATTTAGCCAACTATACACAGACACCACAGAAGACAGTAATGCATTTTCTTTCAATTCAAACTGATCATTTTTACGAATTAAATAATTTACTTTTAAAAACATTTTATAGGAGAAACTGTCAAATGAAAATAAAAAGCCTTCATAAGGGCATTCACCAGACACCTTATTTGGCTTCACTTCAACCTATTGATTTTCAAAGAGTCTAAAGACACTCAGATGCAGCCAGCGTACATAAATAAAACAAAAAGAGTTACCTGCATGAGATTCAACATATTAGCAGATGATTAACATGTCATTCAGTCCATTTAAGCGATGTCAGGGTCTGTACAAGTAGTGAGCTGAACTTTGAACTTTGTAGGAAATGGGTTCAAACACCCCTCTTATCATTCAGCATGTAAGCTGGTTATCAGCTGCTAAGTCAGAGGTTTGTTTACAGTATTGACCATCATGGATAGAACATGTAATGTAAAAGACTGCACAGATGAGTATTTGATTCCACAGAGAGAGATCAAGGTATTTCTCATGTCCGGCATTACTCGAGGGGGCTCTCGATTGTCATTTCATCACCACATTTAGAAGGTCCAGACTTATTGGTCACAATGTGCTCCTTAGTATGTCCATCCTCCTCCTCAAATTGAACCTTCACTGTCATCGTAGAGGATTTATCCACTTTACATTTGATAGTTACTGTGTCATTTGAGGCTTGAAGGCTGCAGTTGCTTAAATCAGGCATATTATCTTTGGACACCCGACACACCAGCTGGTCTTTGTCCACGGAGGCGATGGTCTGTCTTTTCAGGAAGCCTGGACTGTCACAGAGCACACTGTCCAACATCTCTATTTCCAGGCTGTTCTTCAGCACCCAGTCATGCAGATAAAACATGTGGCAGTCACATTTCCAGGGGTTTCCGTGCAGTCTCACGGTGTACTGCATGATAAAAGGGTCTAACAGGCCAAAGGGGATGGTTTTCAGCTGGTTATTGGACAGGTAGAGCTGCTGCATGAGCAGCTGGTCCTGAAACAAGCCGGCCTCCACTTTGCTCATGTTGTTTTCATTAAGAAAGATTGTTTTGATTGTAACTAGGTCATGAAAGATATTTTCAGGCAGAGAACTAAGCTGGTTTTCAGACAGGTCCAGGTTCTCCAGGGTTGTGAGGTTTCTAAAAGTGTTCTCAGGAAGGTAGGAAAGCCTGTTAGAGGACAAGATAAGGTCAGTAAGGGATGTCAAACTGCTAAGTGAGGACAGCTCTGCCAGTCTGTTGCCTTTTAGGTTCAGCTCCTTCAATTCTGGTGCCTGGAATCCAAAAACTCTGTCACTGAAAGTTGTGAGAAGGTTGCCACGAAGGTTGAGCACCTTAAGTTGGGTCAACATAAAAAAAATACCATCAGTGAGCTCTGAAATCTTATTCCCCTCTAGGTGAAGCTCAATCAACTGAGACATATTGTGAAATGTGTCTGTGCTTAGATTGCTGATGAGGTTGTGGTTAATCTTCAGCGTCTCAAGGTTTTCAAGTCCGGTGAACGTTTCCCTTTTCACTTCCATCAGCTTATTTTGTGACAAATCCAGGACACGCAGATTGTTGAGCTTGAAGAAAAGATATGCATGCAGATCTGATATGATGTTGCCCTTTATTTGAAGAGTCTCCAGCTGCTTGAGAGAGTCAAACATACCGGGTAGCACTGTCCTGAAACTGTTATAGTTAAGCAGCAGTTTAGTCAAGTTCTCCTGCTCTGAAAAAGTCCCCGGATACAAATGATCCAGAAGAGGGTTCCCGCTGATTTCCAGCTCCTGAAGGTTGGTCAGATGTACAAAAGCCAGAGAGTGAATACTTCTCAGGATATTATTCAGGAAGATTAGTTTGGTGAGTTGTGGGCTATCCTCTAGAGAGTTTTGGAACAAGTGTGCCACACTGGATGTCATCAGAATAAAGTCAGTGACCTGCCTGGACATGTTTCTGGGTAAAGTTGTAATCCACGTGTCGGCGCACAGAACTTGTACCGGAGTGAAACACTGACATCTGAACGGACATTTGGTGTGAAGCTCTGAGTTTCCTTTGTGACAGACAAGCAGCACCAGGAACAGAACCAGAGCCATTTCTTTACCCATGTTTCTCTGTCAAAACACAAATCAAACCTGACATGAACTAACAGACACCAAATCTCTGAAATAAGGCAGAATGCTTACATTTTACTGGAGTGTGTTTTAAAAGCTCTCATATATTCAAAGACAGAGGGAATAAAACACTTTCTTTTCTTTTCAATGAATGAAATCAAACATACCTCAGTTTTCGGGATCCTGCTGCATTGAAATGATTTTCTGTGTGGATCTACAAACCAGCTGACACAAAGTGCAAACAGCAACAAGTCAGGGTGAGGCAACACAAAAAAACCTTTGGCCAGCTTCTGCTGCTTTCATTACAACAAAATAAATGAATGATCCTGTTTTCAGGGAAACCAGCGTACAGAGTACAGTGAAGATGACTTTGATTTGTTGCCTCAATATGCAATACAGAAAAATAAATCAGAAAAGAATTAATAAGATCATGTAAAATCGGCCGGAGTTGAGTAACTTTTGAAAGCAAATAGATCCAGGAAAAATGTGCTGTCATTGGAAAAGTAGATAACCCCTCACTGGGTCTCTGGGTTGTCTTTAAATGGCCATCAGAAATAAAACAAAGCAGGCCACCATTACCACTGCTCATGATTTTATTCGTACAGAGTCAAATAAAAATTAATCTACATTATTACATTAATTCATCACACAATAAGACTAAAAATCAGAGAGGGAGCTTGATGAGTCAAAGTTCAGAAAGTCAGGCTGGGACACAACACATGCTGGGAGCTACACAACTTTGACAATTTGCAGCTTATAAAACTCTTTAAAAAAAAAAGTGAAAACCCTGATTACAGCACTTTTCAGCTTCTGCACGTGACACTCAGTTTTGGCTGCTTTTTTACTGATGTAGAATTAGACAAATCTTATGAGTGTTACTTTTTAACCCAGCTTTATAGTAATCAAATTACCTAAAAAAGTGCCTTAACAGAAAACATCTAAAGCAATATCATCACCCATATAATACACAGCGGTCTGAGGAGCCATGCGCAAACCTCAACCAAAAAGCCACTCTATAGCCACAAATAATGCTCAGAACAGCACCTAACTTGATCAACAGTACATATAGGGTCCAAGCCATAGTACTAGCCATCAAACATCTTTTTAACTTTGCCTAATTTCTTAAGCAAAGAGACTAAATACAACTTAATGACTCTCTTCCTGCAGTCACTTGTTTGTAGGGAGACCTCGGACGAGTCCATTACGGACTGCAACGGGGTGACACAGCTCAAGGAGGAACATTCATGATCATGTCTTCATGGAAATGCAATCAGACTGAGATGCTAAGGCAGAAGAACTTCCACGTCTGCAGTGTAAAATGATTAATATGATGATTATTACTTCAAGAAAATGATAAATAAATGATGGCAGTGATAGTAATGATGTGGCTCTTTGGTTGAGGTGTCGCGTGGATCTATAGACTGCTGTGTATTGCTATCGTGCGGTCGTTACTGAAGTTGGTATAACTAGAGAAGCAAGCAGTCGGCAACATTCATACCTCGAGGGGGGTGTCTAACTGGGTTTTACTGTGTGTTTGATCCTAACTTAATTTTATGCTGCATATTCCTTTAAGTATGGACATCCAACATTTTATGACTCCTAAAATACGGCTCAGCATAATAGATCTCCTCAAAGCTTTATTGCAATTGTTCCTGTAGTGTGCCAAACATCCATCATCTTCTTATAAGTGCAAAATGTAAAGAAAGAGTGAAATGTTCCTTGAACTATGTGTGATCAAATATTTTAGTAGACTGAGTAAGCAGAAGCTGGTACAACCTTAGAAAAAAACAGCTGAGCACTTTGACTGATGCAGGTTTTGTAGCCTCCACTAGAGGTCGTCCTGCTCCTCTCAACCTTCAGTTAAATTCCTGACTCTTGGAATTCCTGGATCCTCCCAGTCCTCCAGGGTGTTCAGAGGATGCACAGGTAGACATCAGCACTGTTTGGGATCAGATCCACAAACCGAAACCAGGAGCAACTGACTGCATTCAGGAAGCTTTTGAAACGACTTGGTTTCTTTATACCAATTTTATTTATTCTATATTTATTCATTTTTTGAAGTGATCCCATGGCCAATGCAGGTATCCAGCTGCTTGGCTTCGCGCTGGCCTTCATGGGCTTCATTGGCTCAATAGCATCCACAATCATGGTGGAGTGGAAAGCTTCATCGTATGCGGGAGACAACATCATCACGGCTCAGGCTCTGTATGAAGGCCTGTGGAAGTCCTGCGCTTCGCAGAGCACCGGGCAGATTCAGTGTAAAGTGTATGATTCACTTCTGCAACTACCAGGTGAGACTGTTTTACCTAAATTCTTTTCATATTACCTTGTTTAAATGATCCCAATGATTATTACATCTTAATAAGTAAAACAATGTACCATGAATTAATGGTTATCTCTTGTACAAAAAAAGCCTAGAGCTATGAATGGGACACAGAGATGGTGGTGCATCTTTACAAATATTTTATTGTTTTTCATGATGACTGTCGGTGGAATAAAGAAGTCTCAATTTACAACGTTTAATTTTCAGAGCTTAATCTCCTTGAAAAGGGAATGTGTAAATCTCTGTGGTCATTCAAACATCTCTGGTGGTTTCAGAAGAAGCCCTTTCTCCGCCCTGTAAGAAGTCCTGTTGCGTGCAGAGACATGTCAGTGAAATACCAGCATCTGAATCATCACAAAGAGACTCCCCTCTTCTTTTGAAACAAAGTCAAATGAACAAAATTTAATGATGGAGAAAATCTTTCCAGGTGTAAAGGTTTTTCATATCTGAGGATTTGCCATTTTATAACTTAAAAAGTTGATATAATTATTCTCAGAGTGAAAAAACATTGATGAAGTGAGTACGTCTCCTCGAGATGACTCATGCTGTCCTAACTCCCGCCTGATTTCTGCTTGTTGTCAACAAGAGACCCACTTACGCTGAACACAAATTTTCAACTATATATACAACAAATGCAGATGTTGTTCCAAAGAGTACAGGATTAAACTTTTTATGATGAAAGTCAAAGTGAAAAACATTAAGAAACTTGACATTATATAATCCTGTCACTGTGAATCATGTCTTTGTCTTTAGGGATCGTCCAGGGTACTCGAGGTCTGATGCTCAGCTCCATCCTGTTATGTTTTATTGCCATCTTGGTGGAGACAGTAGGCATGAGATGCACCACCTGTATGGCAGACTCCCCTCAGCAGAAGGACAAAGTGGCTCTGGCTGGAGGGATCCTCTTTATTTTTGGTGGTCAGTAACACATATGTAATGATCTCATGATGAGGATATTTAATATAAGGAAGATGCTGCACTACACTATTATTGTAAACAGGACTTAACGCATTATCTGATATGTGAAGATTATTTGACATGAAACATGACTCCACACTTCTACATGTTCAAAAGTTTTGAATGCTGTCATTTCAAATGTCTTATTTTGTGTTTTTAGGTTTACTTGCTCTGGTGGGAACATCTTGGTATGGACACAGAATAGCCAAAGACTTTTATAACCCATTCACACCGACTAACTCCAGGTGAGCTCATCCCCCTCTTCTCCTTACAGCTGCTTACTTTAGCTCAGCATAAGAACTGAAAACAGGTAAGTGGGGTTGTACGAGATACTTGATGGTATAAGAAGTAAATAAGCCTGATAACCTGAACAGAAGATTGGGGCACTTTCATGGGGCACATTTATTTTTGTTCTGTTTTTATATAAAAACATGTCCCTCTGCCTGTCCATGGTAGAGTCAACCCTGTCTGCATCTTCTAGTAGCCTTGCTTCTCTGTCAGTTCTGGCCAAGAGGACTGAGCTGACATTTCCTGTGGGTAACACATACTGTTGACAAGTACCTCAATCAACCCCACTTAAAAAGTCTCAGCAATCACAGCGTGAAAACAGATTTCAGTGAAAATGTGGAGCACTTTTCATATGTGCTAGTCAATAGTTCACTTAACAATGATTGCGACTTTATCTGAACTGAACAAGTGGCTCAGACTGGGTTAAAAATAAAGAACAGTTTGTTTTTAACTTGTAGGTTTTAATAATGAATAAACACAAGTGTTGGTCCTCATATATGTCTGTGTATTGTTTGCTCCATACTTAGGTTTGAGTTTGGAAGTGCCCTGTATGTTGGATGGGGAGCAGCCTGTCTCATCATGATCGGAGGAGGCTTCCTCTGCTGCAACTGCTCCAGTAAGAACTCAGGAAAATCCCCACGCTACCCTTCATCTGCCGGCCAGCCAGGCAGAGACTATGTCTAGGACACGACAAGAGAAACACTGCCTTCATCAGTTACAGAAAACTGACTTCAACGTGTCTTTTGGGTCTTTTGTATGTTTTATTTTTAAGATGTTGAGCTGTATTGGGTGGATGTTCATACTATGTTGATACTACTGTTCATAAAAGCAACAACAAGTTTTAGATTTTGAGATTTTGTTTGACTTGCAGTCATATTTGACCTCTTTAGTCATATTTTACCTCTTCCTCTGCTGAGTGTGACTTTTTTAATGTGCTTGTGCTTGGACTTCACAAACTTGTAATTCAGTCAAAAGCCAAATAAAATTCTCATTATTTTCATATTAACAAATGTTTTTCATTATTCTAGTGTAGTTAAAGGATAACATGGGTCATTACGAAAGGATAAAAAATGGCCTAAGAACAAATTTGTCCTATTCTTAATTAACTCCCAGACTAATAACAGTCTTATTAACTTAATCCTTTTGAATTTCTTGCTACGTCAACAAATTTACCACCTCCCCATAAGATAATCCATTCTTAAGAACAATCTAAACTTGCTGATCTGCAAGTATGTAAAACAGCTGTGGTGATATAGACATCAGGATCTACATGTGAGCAGATTTAACAGGGTTGGTTTGGGTCTTTTCATGGAGTTATTTTAAATACATTGAGTCTTTCTGGTTGTATTTTTAGGTACATTCTCACGTAACGAGAGGTTAAAAGGATCATAGTAACAGGAGGAGTCAGATGTTTTCTGAGACCAAAGTAAAAGGTGGTCTGATGTGGGGGAAGTCATCTGACTCCTCCCTAAAGCCTCAGTAAATGACGTCGTACAATGACAAGCATGTCCGCCCAAATCGAAACAACAGCGTGTATGTCTTTTAGAGAGTAAGGGGTGAAACTGATCTGATTTTTTCAGTATCATCAGATTCACACTTTTGAAACAGCCTTTTCTCAGTAAGTTTCTGTGTATTGGACTTCAAAGCTTCCATAAAACATGTCGAAAGCAGAGTTTTCTTTGACATATAACAGTGCGTGGAGCAGAAATGTGTAGCCTGAGGGAAGACTAAACTAGAGCAAACCTAGAGACATACCTCAGACCACAGGCTCGTGTCCCAACATGCCTTTCTGCAGGAGAAGAACAGTCATCTCAGTCCATGGAGCCCAGATTTAGAACAACTTAAACACACCTAAGACAGGCATGGTACGGTAAATAACACTCTGTGCTTTTTCTTTGAAATAATAACTGAAAAGTGAACCTCCTGGCCCATCAGTGCATGCACACATACAACATGATCTTATAAACTGCTTCTCTGGTTCTACCAGCTCAGTGTCTTAATGGTGTTACCCTTTAGTCATACTCTGCGCTGTAAGTTTGCATCAAAGAGCGCCTCCGTGTGGGGATCCTCTAGTTAACTTTTAGCCGCACACAAGCAAAGCCCCAATTAAGAACACAATGCTCTCAAGGATATAATTAATCCAATAGTGCAAAATAATTGTTCCAAATGATACAAAATGTGTGCAGTTATGTGAGGGGGAAGATGTCAGCCAAAACAGTTAAAAAAAACTCTTTCAATGTAAAATATTTCAATTCTTTTTTACATTTGACTGTTAAAAATCAGCAGGATAAGATGTTTGAAGGGGGTTGGAGCTTTAGAGCAGTCTTTTAACGATGTAACAATAGTTGTCCAACATATCAGAAGTGAAGCCCTAATCAGACATATCCATTCATTTTATTTAGTAAATGAAGCCTACGAACTAATTCAAGCAGGTGATTCAACCTGCACTGATTTCACACTCATTATTAGATTTCACACCGCTGCAGTCACATAAAATTTAATCTCCTCATTTGCGGTCTAATTAAGCTGACTGTGAGTGTTTTCTCTACCTGTGCGACAGTTATTGCCACTGTTACAGATCTCAAGAAAACAACTTAAAGCTCCTGTGAGGAATTTTTAGCTGGTTGTGGAAAACTGAAATCAACAGTGATGCCTCTTTATATGGGCTACAAAAGCGAAAAAAGACTGTCAGCCTATAGTTGAACTTTTACTACCCTGTAATTTTTAATAACTGTTCTCAGAGTGAGGGGGCAGATCAGCTGATTGATAGCACATCTTACATTGACAGCTGTAAATCTGTTTTTCTTCAGCAAATATTGTTAGTGAGTGATATGTGAGTGATATGATTGAGTGTCATAAGACAGTAGGAGGAGATTTTTGTCAGGAAACATTACTTACACATGAATATTGTTTTCTAATACATGCAACTAAAGGAGGTTGCTGTAAACATGTCTGTCTCCTTAGACTCAAATATGGTGAGAGATGCTTTAATCTTAAACAGAGGTGAATGAGACCTATTGATTTTAAAAAGTGACTCTTCTGAATCATTAACCACGTGTGGCTGACTCCACTGATGTTCCACTTTTAATTGTGCAACAAGTACATGAACTTTAATGTTGTTTCCTGTGAAGTCAGAGAAAATACCGTAAGAATCATTGAGTGATTAAAACCCGTCTTCCTCCAGAGCTTGCAGTGGTCTGATCTGAGGCAGAGCTTCCTGAAACCCAGAGCAGAAAACGAGAAGAGAAAGTTCACCCACAGTTCAAGTTGCAGCTGTGATAGCGGGAAGATATTAATTCATTGTTTTCTGGGACTTCCAGGAACTCTTTTTGTGACGCTGCTCTTTCAAAGTTGACTAATACAGTAGTCAATGCGCTTGTGAAACAGATTAATAAACTTACTGCATAAAAGAAAGATTTAGATGAAGTGAAAAATACCAGAAGAGGAACAGAGGTCAAATAACACTCAGTGTGTGACTCAATGTAACAGCGTACACTGTTAAGATTTGACGAAAGTGCAAAGTCTAAAAACGGTTAGTGATCTTAATGTTAATTTGTTGATCAGATTTGTTGATTCAATTAAATCACTAGTAAATGAAATGAAGTCCCTGTAGTACACCTGAGGCCTACATGAAAGGTTTAATGTGAGAGCAGTCTGGAGCTAAAGCAAGAGTATGAAATGAAACCACTAGAGGTCGTGAGAGGAGAAGTTTTGCTTCAGTTTCCATGACGATGCCTGACATGTCACTCTGCTGGAAATAAAAGCAACGATACCAGTGAAATACAGTTTCTCATTTAATCTCTTTAATGAGAGGGGCAAACATAAAATATCTTTTACAAGTTATATAATCACTCAGGCTTTTCAGTTTATTACTGTTTAAAAAAACAAGAATCACATGAGTAAAAATGACAACTACTATGGATATTGAGTTACGAGTTGTATTTTATTTTTCTTGGAAATTCTTTCAGTTTGATTTTTATTTCATCTCGACAAATATCAGTATATTTATAAAACAACACAATATAATCACAATCAAATACTTCACAATGAAACTAAATGGTATCATGAACTCTATAATGATTGGATGATGATCTTTTTGCAATAACTTTAACATTCAGGTCCAAAATGCACCCAAGCACCTACACACACACACATAGACACAGGGCAGAGAGGAGTTTATGAGTTATTTTAGAGCCACAGGTCTTCAGTATACAAAAAAATCAAACACTTGAATGTTGCAACTGTTGCTCTCCTACGTAAAGCATTTGCTTTCATGACATCCTTTGCATAGCTTTGACTCTTTCTCTACTTAAAGGAACATTTAAAACTCTTGTGACTTAAAAGACATATTATATTTCATGTTGCTAGTGTTTCAGACTGGATAGAGTGTTCAGAGGTTTTTTAATGTTTATTGTTTTGGGTACCTGTGTCAAAGCCTCAGAGGCACACACACATTAAAGCTCTGCGACCTACAACATGCTCTCAGATTAGACCTCTGATCTTCAGCACACCTAATCCCCAAACCTCCCCAACAATCGTCTTAATGAATATAAGCTAAGTCCTCAAATCCTATGTCTCAAAGTTACTAAAAGCACAGCTGCCCCCATGCAGTACACTCGAGTCATGTTTGCCCTCCTCCTCCAGTATCATTCAATTTGCATTTTAACAAATAGTCCTTGAAGTATGAGGATTTGATACAATAAAATAGAGTGACATTTTTTACGATCTTTGTAAAACAACTCGACGATTAAAGCTGATGAAGTGCATTGACACAGCAGCACTTAAATGGAGGGTTTCCCCGCCTCTCTAGTCCAGTTATAGGATTTGGATCGGGACCAAAGTCAAACTCAGACTGCCGCAATCAGCAGAGTGCATCTGACAGACAGGAGAAAATCAATGAGCGGCTACAAAATAAAATGGAAAACTAAATGGCTGCTAAAATCATTTCTGTCGTACCCTATAGTGAGTGGCCTTTTGAATATCACAAATCCACTCAGAAAGAAAAGAGGAACGTCCTGATACAGGCTGTCAGATACAGTTGACACACTTTAGCCGCAGGGATCTGAACCTGAACTACCGGAGACATTTGTAGATATCCTGGTTCTGTATCAAAGTTAGCACTTTATGAGGGAATATATATGTAAATATAAACACTTAAATTTCCTCTTTTGTCGACACATTTTGTTCTTTAATTTAATTCAATTTTGTGTTTTTCATTTGGACAGGGGTAATTTGCTGATTTTGTCGTATATATCCATGATCTCCATTTAGAGATTGTGCCCTGGTGTTGTTTTTCCCTCGTTAGAAAAGAGACAGGGGGTTTGAGTTTCAGAGTGTGAGGGACAACACGCAGCAAAGAGTCATGGTGCTTTAACTGCTAACCTGATGTGGCCCCTGGGAAGTGTTTTCTCATAAAACATCTGATCCTGCTTTCATTATGACTGAATTTGGGGGCTTTTTTTAATGTACTACAGTAAAGGACAGTGAATAGAGTCGGAAACATGTTGGACACTCTGTTTTAGTTTGTGTAGCCCCCTACCATGTAGCTGTAAAGATGACAGACAACTTTCTCAACAAACTTAAGTCTTTTAAGTTGCAATCCTACTTCCACAGTCCCAAATTGGAGACAAAGCTGGCTGAATTAGTGATAAGAAGCTGGTAAGCGTGGGAATTTAAGGCTGAAT